TTTTCGAAAGCTAGTGAAAGTTAACCGCAGGATATTTATCTATTTGCTTTAAATAATTTATTTGCTTCTTTTTATGAAACCACTGTAGGTAGGGACATTCTCGTAGTCCCATTGGATATTCTAATTTACTGTGTAAGGAATGAAAATATTAACATTATTATTCGCTTCCACATCTAAGTTATAAATTTACTTTATTTAAGTTCTCGGTCCTTTACACTATAAATTTAGTAAACATCAAAAATCAATACTTAAAAATCTAATATTATACTAATTAATTGTTGTTATATAAAGAATATACATGATGGTGACTACAAAAAGAACATCCTCTGATATTCGTTTTTGATGATTGTACAAAAAAGACGATGGTCAAAACTTAGATGCACAAATAAAAATAAGATGATGGTTACTATAGAAAAAGTATGTTCTTATGCCACAAGGCAATTGCATGTATGCTGAATGGTTAAAGAAAATAACTAATTTGATGAAAACACGATACATTAAAGATGAATATAGATAAGAGCAAGTGATAAGACATAAAAAGAGAAAAAAACTCTGAAGTAAATTTTATTTACATTCCTAATTTTATAGTAATAGAACATATGTAAATATATATAAAATAATAATAATTATTATTTTTTAAAAAAAAGTATTAAAATATTGTATGTTTAATATGTACTATGTTTAATTTATTTAATATATGAATAAACATGTATGTCAATTTTCCAATCAAATAATCTAAAGTTTGAATTCAGTCATTTAGTTAAATGAGTGTTTTTTAAAAGATTCGAATTTATTATTCACTAAATTTAGAACAAATTTGAGTGTAACGAAAATTGAATTTTTTTTTTTTTTTTTTTGCATTTTTGTTACCGAACTTTGGATACAAACACTAGAAAGAATATAGTCAAAATGTTAAGCCAATGATTGGAGATTCTTTTATATAGCAAAAGATTCTTAAAGCTTCTATTAATCTTAGAAAGGGTGTTGTTATTCATGTAACGAATTGAATGGATATAAATACAAAAATTTATGCATGTAAATAATAATTAACAATCTTGTTTGTTTCTATATGTATGCATCCACATAAAATTGATTAGCAAATATAATTTTATATAGGGCGGCAAAGGCATAAGAAATTCCGCTAATAAATTTATTTCCACAACATATTACAAAAGCCATTTGGTTGAGTATAATAATACAATTAAGAATTTGATGGAATCAAAATATTAATAATAAAATGTATTTAAAAAAGCAAATTACTACATTAATTTCTAAATTTTTTAATGAAAAGAAAATAAATTTGTTAGGCATTTAAAAATTGACCTTAATTAATTAATTATTATTATTATTATTTAAAAATATATATATATATATATTACATTGATTTTATAAGTTCAGCTGGCGGATAAGTATGGGACGCCTCTCCGTAGGTCCCACGCCCCTACATTTTCAAATTCATTTAGTATTTTGAATTTTTTAATAGAGAAAAAAATCAGAGCCGTAGATTTTATTTAAAGGTCAGTAGGCTTCAACGGTTATGATGAAGGTACTAGCTGGGTGGGGGGTCCACTTGGCACAACTGCTTAATTAAAACACAAGATTCATGCCACCTGGCAGTACCTAATTTCTCACTACAAAATCGCATTATTATTATTTTTGATTAATTTCTTTTTAATTTTTAATAATAATTTGTTATGTAGAGAACACACGTCTTCCTCGACTCTGTCCGTCGTCTCCGGCGTGAAAGCCATTTTCTCCTTTATTCTAAAATTAATTTAGGAAAAAAAAAAAACAAAAAGTAGATTTGCCAAGTAGGA